CTGAGAAATTATTTCTGATTTCATTTTTTCCAGATCCTCTTTTGTTGCCAGTTCAGGGAGTCCAGGTGGTTGAGTATCAGTGTTCCATCTCCTTTCCCTTTGGGGTTGCTGTGGGTGATCTGGAAGTCTGGTTTTGAGACTTGTTTATGTGTCTTTTCATTTCAACCCCCAGGAGGAGGGGGGTGTTGTTGGCACCCACGTGGTCACCTCCTCTGACCTTCGAGCAGTGGGATGGTGGCTCAGGAGCCCCTACCTCTGGGCTGTGAGCGGCAGGATGGATGGTGGCCTGGAAGCCCCTTCCTCTGAGCAGGGAGCAGTGGCCTGGAAGCCCCTTCCTCTGTGCTGGGAGCGGCAGGATGGATGGCGGCCTGGAATCCCCTTTGTCTGTGCCGAGAGTGGTAGGATGGAAGGCCCATTTTATCTTTTCTTAAAACTCTTCCGGGTCGGGGATTTAGCTCAGTGGTTCCGCTGCCTGCCTTGCAAGCGCAAGGTCCCAAGTTCCAAAAAACAAAAGTACCAAAAAAACAAATAACTTTCTTCCATTCTTAAAAACTGGATAACTCACTACTGCACTCCACCTGAATCCACCTGGGACTTCAGTGCCACTGCACCTTGGATGAAGCTGTTCCCTGCCCCAAATACAAGTCCTCACCACCCCTTATCTCTGCCAGAAGAAAGTCTAAGCCAGCTCAGATGTAACTCATAATGAGATACACATTTCCCTCCCAGTACTTTCTTGGTACCCTTCTTCAGAGGTGATTTCTACACACCTATGAACCACAGGTCTATTTCCCACTCTAGATAGAAAAGTTCTGAAAGAAAGGACTATTTCTTATTGTTCTTTGTACCTTCTAAAGAACCTGGTGTAACAATTACTAAAGAACAATGGACATTACTGTTGGGTTCTAGAAAGAACGAGGTAGAGGGAAAGCAAAAGAATTACCAAGAAAAAGTCTATAAATAAAGTGTCTTACTGGAAAGGAAGGAGGAAGAACCATGTGCTTAGGGAAGCAGGTCAGAGAGCCCACTGCAATCACAGCCTTGACAGGGATGGTCAGGATCTGCAGAGGGAGGCAAACCATAATGAAGTCAGCATCCAAGTCTGTGAGCCATCTTGACAATTACTGTGTTGTTTTGGGGGGTTAAAAAATAAAACTCATTTTGGGACTTCTACTAGCAATAATCACCTGAAAACCTGTATTAAAGTTATCCATGGATACTATTTAATCTGGCCAAAGTTCTCCATAAAATATAATAAAATACAGTAAATTTCCAAATGTCACAAGACACTTCAGTAATTCACTGAAAACATAGTTAACAAGACTAAACAATGAGAAAGAAATGAAGACAGATTTTTTCAAAGCACAAAAATTTTGTAGGTGATTAAAGAGGAAAGTCAAATTGTACACCTAAAACAATGTATATAAAACCCCAGCATTTTCTAGTTTTGTAGCTCTCTACTGTTTTGTTTATAGAAAAAGACATTGATCTAACTTTAAAAAAATGAGTTGATAATTCTAGAGTTAGACTCCACCTCACACTCCAATAATATCACAAATTAGTGATGCAATGATATGAGAAGACAGTCACTCTTATTTTTATCCATATAATTAAAGCTTAATTCTGAAAAGTCTTAATTCTGAAATGTATTTCTATGATGAATATAAGCATAAGCATGAATTTCTTACTTTCAGATGCAATTCATTTGATATACTCCCAACAAATCACTGATTATTAAATGGCCAATTATGTTTATTTTGCAATTAGGTTTCTTTCACATGAGGGTTGCGTATGCTGAAAACACATAATGGGAAGACAAGGGTAGCACCTGTTGAATTTAGCAGTGTTTGACTTCCCAAAGAGCCTCTAAATATTAAAAGTATTTAGGTCTGGCAGAAATATATCCATTCAAGATTTTACTGAAGGCAACATTAATCCCACAACAGTCTTTAAAAAGTTCAAAGAGCCTTTAAAAAAAAAACAAACTTGACATAGAATGTCTCTTGTAAATATAAATGTAAAATACCTGATTCTTCATGTTGCCCCCTTTTTTGGAGATGTTACACAGGAGACATTTATGACTGCAAGAAGAATCAGATACTGAGCTTGGGAAATTTAGTCAGGCTCTGTGCAATTTTATAGCTATCTGTAATCAAATTTCGAACAGAACAATTCCAAAGGTGCTAGGGCATTGTTTCAGCTTATGTGTAGATGTCTCCTGAAAGGCGCATGGGGTCGCAGGTGGAGCTTTTTGGGGGTGGCTGGATCTAAGGTGTGTTAATTTGGAATAAGGGTGTGATAACTAAATCAGTCTGCCAATTGGTTTAGCATAGTTCTGGTTGGATAAAGGGTGGGAAGGCCCACCCTGAGTGTGGGAAGTACCAACCAACAGGCTTGTAGCCTGAATGGAATAAAAGGGAAAGGGGGGCTGCTGGTTTCTTCCTACCCTGCCATGGACTGTTTCTCCTCTGCCATTACCCTCTGCTTTGGAGCCAGGTGACTATGGATTGAAACCTCTACAAACTGAGCTAAAATAAACCTTTCCTCCTTTAACTTTGGCTGCTTGGTATTTTGTCTCAGCAATAAGAAAAGATAACTAAGTTATTTTTCTGAAGCTGCTATTTCAGTAAGGAGATTTGGGTTTTATGAGAAAACCACAAGGAAATCCATACCAATTTTCTATAAACTAGTCTCAAAGCTCAGTTTTTAAGGCATGACACTGGTAAACTGTAACTTTCTGAGTAAATTTAGTTCTTTGTTTCTATAAAAATAAAAACCCCATAAATATGTGCGATTTTTCATTTATCAGTTTACAAAACAAAAAATAGGACTTATTCAGAAAAAGCCCATTCACATGAATTTCCCACAAAGTCCTTACCTCATAGTCTGTTGTGATTTGTATGGCTCCATCATGAATCCCTTCTAGTTTTTTTGCAGTAAGTTTGACTCTGAATACCGCAAAATAGCCTGAAGCTAATATAACCTAGATGTGGTAAAAATGACATCATTCATTATCCTTGCAAGTTGAAGTTTTTTATTAAAGTGGAAAGGAAGGTTATAGTGATAAACTGATCTCCACATCTTTATCCTAGTACAATAGTGAATTACCATATCTTTTCTTTTTTTTTTTTTTGGTACTGGGGATCGAACTCAGGTCCTTGTGCTTGCACAGCAGGTGGTGAAACCACTGAGCTAAATCCCCGGCCCCATTACCATATCTTTGTGTACAAGCTCCTCAAAATACCACCCATCCCTTAATGTTCACCTACTACACTTCACAAGCCACCGAGAACATGGGTTCTAGAGAGCAGTCAGCTCCCATCCAGGGAAGGCTGTGGTCCTCCAGCCAGCAAAGCTCCTCATTCACTGCCCATGCTTCTGTGAGGCAAAAGTGTGTGTGTGTGTGTGTGTGTGTGTGTGTGTCTGTGTGTGTGTGTCTGTGTGTGTGGAGAGCAGAGTCCACAGCCTTCCACTAGCTCTTCAGTCACAGGCTGGCACAAGCCTGCTCCAAGTTCTGAGTGTCACTCTGAATGCTAACAGTGCATAGCACTGGAGTGTGGATGCTATCAAAACAATCCTATGCCCATTTGTCAGCAGTCTCTGTGCATAAGGATACTGGCTTTTCCTTTTGTAAAACTGCCCTAAGGAGGCTACTCTAACCTACAGATGAGATTCATGCAGTTCTTTTTCAAAAGGTGATGCTACCAATTCTATTCTTAGTAGGTATTAACTCCCAGTTCCTTTTTCATCAGTGGTGAGAGATGAGACTGATCTATTTGTTTTCTTTGTTTAGTGATATCTTAATACCAACTGTACATGTTCATGAGACAGAGTGAGAGTACATGGGAAGATTCCCACAGAGATCAAACACTGCTTGCCTCTCGGATACTCTCCCAGTCGGTACACAATACTGGCTGAAATATTATTTTTTAATTGAAAATACTTCTCCGCACTGTTCAGGGCTCTCTCTCTTTCCCAGTAAACTTAATGAACAGGGGTTAGTTTAGTGCCCATGGGAATCTCTCAAGCTAATTTAAAGTCTGCTATAACTTTCTGTGACAAGGTAGGCCAACCCCTTTGGGTTTCAGTGCCCTCATCACAAAGGAGAGGGCTAAGCCGGGGATTTAGCTCAGTGGTGGCATGTCTGCCTTGAAAGTGCAAGGTCCTGAGTTCGATCCCCAGCACCAAAAAAACGAGAGGGCCAAAGCAGATTACCTGTAAGGTTCTTTCAATATCAAATAATCAATATTACAAGTTACATAAAATATTAATTGAGGTTTGCAACATAGAATTGCCTTTTACTTGCAGTTCAGACATCCACCTTAGTTTAAGGAAACAATAAGAAAGTTTACTTACTGATGACTGGTCTGATAAAGAGGATTTTTCCAACTCTGAAAGGCTTGAAATTATTGTAGTTCTATTGCCTTTTTCTGTAGCTACAAGTTCTATTGATAATCCATCTCCTATGATATGCCAACTTTTTATAGCCAACTTAAAAAAGAAAAAAATGTGAAAATTATTGTAACACAACTATGCAATCCTTAAATGTGATTTAGAATAAAAACAAAATTTTTTTTACCTCAATTGGATTGCTGTTTATAATTGCAAATAAAATATTACTTGCTTCTGTAGCACTCAGTACTCCAAAATCTATGAAACGTTCTTCTATTTTGGGGGGCAATACAAAGTACTGGAAAGATATAAAAGGACTAGATTAAAGATAAAACTACATTTATGTAACAAGAAAAAGTGATTACATTAAGATACACTGAAGTTTCTATATTTTATGAGTGTATATATATATGCGTACACACACACACACAC